CTGTGGTATGCAGCCTAGAATAGTACCTCTAAAATGAATCAGATACAGGTAACACAGTACGCGCATGCAATCAGAAACATAATGAGAAGCATGATGGATCATAATCCGCCTAGGATAAATCTTTCGCCCTTTACTAAAGATTTCAGTGTAGGGGTGCAATACGATGAGTCTTTATAGAATTTTTGCAGCGCCTTGTTCTCGGGGCGGTTTAAGTGAAGAAGAAAGTCATCCCGACAGGGCTTCTGCGGGTAAGATGATAGTTCGTAGCCGTGCCCACAGACTCCACAATGGTACCTATTGGCTCGATTTCAGTAGCTGTGATTGCGTTCTCATTATGCTTCCAAATGCACGCGCCCGCTGTATTTCCTGTATCAGATTCATATTACAGGTGCTATCCTGGGCAGATTTGCACCGGTAACGATGACAATGAGGCTTACCCTATATCAACTTTCATTAGAAGAGGTAGTTGGCAACCGTGCCCACTTAATCCACAATTATACCTACTGGCTTAATTTCAGTAGCTATGATTACGTTCTCATTATGCTTCTAAATTTACGCGCGCGCTGTATTACCTGTACCAGATTAATGGTGGAGGTACTATCCTGGGCGGATTGGCACCGGTAACGATGACAATGAGGCTTACCCTTTATCAACTTTCGTTAGCAGAGGTAGCTTTCGACTGCCTCATTATTTGCGGATTTTCTCTTCCGCCAAAACCAATGTTTCGCATAAAGGTCTTACCCGGCTTGCGTTGTGGCGTCCCGCGTGCCGCTGCTTGACCCTCGTGTCCTTCTGTCCATTATGTTGGATGGAGTTCTATCGCACACTGCGGAATGACCTTCGGACCAGTTGCCTTCTTTCCATTGGCTGTTCGCCTTCACTTGCTTTTCTTTCCAATCTGAGGCTAGGATGAATTTATTCCGCACATCGTTCAAAGTCTCCTTGCTCATTTCCATACCTTTCTTGTATTTTTCACCTAATCTAAATTAGGCTTCCACTTTACCTGTAGCGTCAATTCCTAGCATATACTACAATCGCCATTTACCCGTCCACTCAATTGTCCCACTCGTATAACCCCTAATACCACCGGTCCCGATTGACAGGCTCTGGGAGTTTGCGGTGTCAGGAGGGCTACCAAGTATCATCTAACCCTTCTGCGAGTGCACTCCCAGACATAATGTGAACGTAATCACAGAGCTTGAAATCGAGCCAGTAAGTACAATTGTAGAATCAGTGGACAGGGCTACCAACTACCATCCTACCCGTCTTTCATATCAGACTGCCAATTTTTGAGCGCAAATTGAACACTGTAGGGTGTTTGCCTACTGGTTCTTAAGTTTACTTGAAATGAGCTTCTACTTGCTATGAAAGTAACTTATGAATGTTAAAGAAAACAACTTATCGCAATCATTATTACTAGGGTGATTTTTGTCCGGACTGGTGGTTGTGGGGCTCGAATCTTTTGGCGAATTACTGACATCAGCCTGGGTAGTTTTCAAATTTTCGTCATTATGCAACGTGTTGTACGAGTTTTTCCAGCGCGCAAGAGTCTAACAGGCCTTAGATGAAGTAAAGTGGCCGCGCCACCTTCTGGAATTGATGACGAAGCCCTGTTGTGTTGCTCGCAAGGTTGCTCAAAGTTTCTCCCGGTTTTTCTGCTTTCAGCATTCAGTGATGTTGTTGGTTTTTCGCCGTGGTGTACAGCGGCAATTGACCTATTACTGTCAAATTAGCGCCAAATATTTCTTCAAACTGCGAAACTCACTTTTGGGAGTTAACTTTGGTGACAAGATCGCCGTCTCCTCGTGATTAACATTTAGTTTTTAAAACTGACTGCTTCCGTTGAAAAGATATCTCTGGCTTTTCTGCTAGAGAGTTGATCTATTTTCAGGAGGTATGATTTTCCTGTGCGCCAGAAAAGCTGTTCTGGTATCGCCTAACAGGCCTAGGTTGTTTTCCAGTGTCATAACTGATTTGTTTATTTCCCCACAATTGACGCACTGACCGACTGACACCAGGTTTGTCTCAATATTAATAGAGTTTTAATACCTGACGCAAACGCATGAATCTCGCTTCTCTTCTAGGTCCACCGGATTCTATTATGTTCCATCGTCCTAACATCTACTCACTGCATCGGTATTTTTTCATAAGAAACCGCTAACGATTTAAAAAGTGCGCCTAACTCTTGTTCAATGTTTATAATGTTCTCCTCGTCTTCAGACCGCGTCATCGTAGCGTGGTGTCACTTGCCATGTCCTTCACTGCCGAAGTTACCGGGTTCGACTCCCGAGTCTGCAGTTATTGTGGGCTTGTGCCGGAACAACCTGGATGCGTTTAATAAAAAAACGTTCCAGCAAAAACTTACAGCCGTTCGAATCTTGCAATAGCTGCATTACTTCAATTAACCGATGAAGGGTAGGAGTATTCAAAGATGCGGAGAGCAGACATAAGACAAAAAGTTAAATTAATTTCGGGAACAGAAAGTTTTTAGGGAAATAAATTACAAATTTGGACAACTCTGGCCGGAGTTCTGTCAGCGTGGGGGGAGATAAATGTATCACTTCTATTTCTTAAATCCAAATCCTTACCACTGCCTTAAGCGTACCGTGGAATGGTCAGTGATGATAGAGGTACCGCTGAAACTGAATCGTGAGACCAAGTGATGATAACACGAACGGTCAGATGCAGCACTAAGACAAGGGTCATTTACCTCCAGCAGGGAATAGGAGGCATGCTGAAGTGGACTACACAGGAAGTTTCGAAGCGGCGGCACAATTCTTTTGAGGAGAAATCCCACTCGCCTGTGGGATTTAGGCAGCTCCTTATTAACGTTCGCCAAATAAAAGTCAGACTCAGCGCGGTAGAAACAAAGAACAGACGCATTTTCCCAGAATTCGGGCAAGGTGTAAACGGTCACATGAGAGGCTGGACAGGAATGACAGGTGATTGGTTAGGAGCAGACACAGCATGCTAAAGATAGGGTCAAAATAAATGAAAGGAACAAAAGTAGGGAGCTTGAGCAAAGAAATCGAATGAGACAAGATCCAAGGCAAATTAATCGAGCATGAACAAAAGCGAGCGAATTTGGCCTGAACACACAAAGACGCCAATAGATTTTACCCAAACGTGGTCCTCCGTATTTGTATACCTGCGTATGTTCTCTACAAGCCTAACGAGTTTAAGATCTAACTGGGTGTCAAGCAGAACAGGAGGGCCAGAATGAGATAAAAAAATGCCACCACTGCCTTCAGCATCTACAGCTGCGCATGCTTCAAATCAGAAGAGTGTCCTTTCCGTTCTGTGTGAACAAGCGCAACGCTGTATGGGTTGGTGAAGCCCTGCTCCCGAACCTTCATTGAGGACTGCCTCGTTAAATTCTTTCGAAGGTTTGTGAGACCGCAGATGGAATTTGGCGTTTACCCCTCGAAACCCTAGGCCGTTAAAGACCCTAGCGTCTGTTTAGTGCCTTTCGGGCGCTTATAAATAAAATTATTATTGACATTACTGTTTTTATTTAAATTCGATCTCTTTCCTTTGAGTTAAAATAAACAGCTACGAGGCCGCCTGACAAAAAACCTCCTGCATCATGCGCAGTCTGGATTGATATCTTGTGCTTGGAGACTTCTTCTCGTTAGCAATCGCAACGGACCTGGGAGGGTGCCCACTCAAACTGCGTGTGACATGGGTTAGGCTAGAAGCGCGTAAGTTGCACTCAGACAGTGTGGTTAAAGCTTGAAATGTTCTGCATGCGGAGCGCATGGTATCCATCTCCGTAGAAAATTTTAGCAGGAAGTTTGATTATTATTTCACTAAGCAACCCAGAGTGTTCAACGCATAAATACTGCACTCCGACCAACGTCGCCTTGACGTTTTATCGTATCAATCTATCATAGTTCGACATATTTCCGTATATGCTCCAAAAATGATTGTCTTTAGAATTATTTGCAGTCTCTAGCAGATTGCGCATAACCACTGACATTTACGTCGGCGTTGTGCGACAAGTGGCATCATTTTACTTCCTATGTAGTGTCCTGTAGCTTAAACTAACTACAATGCTCCGCGCTAACTGCTGTATATCGCTATATATATATATATATATGGATATAGGCAAAAATGCTGACCCCAGGTGTTAATATGGAAGAGGAGGATGAGGCGATCTCTGGGGAAGAAGGTTTATTCATCTGACGTTTCGTGTTCATACTCGAGCACATCTTCGGAGATAGGCTGAGCGAGAAATACAGGGTTTAAATAGGCCATCTACGCGCGAGAGGGGGGCAACGAGAAGCGAACGGGACGAACCTATCGGATGAGAGTGCAGATGGCCTATTTAAACCCTGTATTTCTCGCTCAGCCTATCTCCGAAGATGTGCTCGAGTATGAACACGAAGCGTCAGATGAATAAACCTTCTTCCCCAGAGATCGCCTCATCCTCCTCTTCCATATATATATATATATATATATATATATATATATATATATATATATATATAGTGGTAGGGGGCGCTCACCGATCGTTCATACGGAACTCACTCGTTCCGTTGTGCCTTAAGAGCTCTCTCTCGAGCCCAACCAGCAGCCGCACAGCGGCGCATGATACATAGGCAGAATAACATTACCGACAAAGACAAGGGAGACTGGAATGGCCATTTCTGGCTTATTAGCCGTCGTCAGCCAGCCATACCCAAGCCCGGTGAGTAGAGGCGTTGACTTCTAAACCAACAGGTCGCGAGTTCGAGGCTCGGGTGTTCCACACTTCGGGCTTGGGTATGGCTGGCTGACGACGGCTAATAAGCCAGAAATGGCCATTCCAGTCTCCCTTGTCTTTGTCGGTAATGTTATTCTGCCTATATATATATATATATATATATACGAAGCTTGTTTGTTTCGGGAAGCCAATGGATCGGTGTGCGCCCATTCCTGAATGAATAAATACCCGATCTGCAGAGACAGAGAATGGCAGGTGGCGAGGCACTGATGAACTTCGGTTCGATGAAGTGCTTATGACCCATCTGGTAGACCCCAGTGGTGGACCAGCTGCGCCAGGTGCGTCTGAGCGCATGTTTGTGTTTCCGGTACCAGCTGCTGGTGGTCACGGTTATGATTGGCTGAATGAAGGAAAAAAAGCCCGAAACAGTGCTGTATCAATCTACCCCCAGACTCTGTCGTCTATCCTCTGCTATAATAGCTGCGCCGACTTCGCCCCGGTAGGTGGTTGCCCGTTCGTGACCCCTATCGCCCATACGAAGCTTGTTTGCTTCGGGAAGCCAATGGATCGGTGTGCGCCCATTCCTGTGTGAATATATATATATCAGGCTACAACACAGGGGACGCACACCCAGTGGATTTTATCGCTGCTCTTGAAGCGACACTCTCAATGACGTAGGCCACAGAGGACACCAAGAACTCGATTCGCCAACGAGTCGCATCGCTCATCATATCCCACAGGCCACGTCGAACCATCTCCTCAGCCGAGGTAAATGCCATTAAAGAACTAAAGATGGACGAAGACATTGTGATTGTCCCAGCAGACAAAGGACGGGCAACCGTGATCCTGGACAAGTCAGAGTACGTAGCGAAAGCTCAGGAGCTACTCAACGATAACCAGTCATACAAGGTCATTGACTCGGACCCCATGAAAACACTGGTGGCAAAAATCAACAAGAGTCTGAGTCTAATGAGGAACCAACAGGCAATATCTGAGACCGATTGGCGACAGATGAAACCACAAGATGCTGCCATAGCACGCTTCTACGGTCTGCCAAAGATCCACAAACCAAACGTTCCCTTGCGGCCAATTGTGGCGCTGAAGGGCACACCTACCTACGGTCTGGCTAAATGGCTTACCAAACATCTGAAGAAGCTGACGGAGGGCTCAGAACACACAGCAGTATCCCCATCACACTTCCTGGAAAGACTCCGAGGCGTCAAAATAGCCCCCAATGAAATAATGGTGTCCTTCGACGTCGTCTCTCTTTTCACCTCCATCCCTAAAGAATTAGCCACGAGGGTCATAAGTGACCTCCTGGAGAGGAGGTACGATGAAGAGGAAAGACCTCTGAAAAGGAAGCACATAATGGAGCTACTGGACTACTGTTTGAGCACGTACTTTACGTTTAATGGCCAGGTGTACGAGCAAATCCAGGGAACTCCGATGGGATCACCAATCTCCGGCTACCTAGCTGAGGCGGTTCCAAAAGAACTGGAAACACGGGTTTTTCAGTCCTACATGCCAAAATTCTGGATGCGCTATGTGGATGACACCTTTGTCATCCTACCTCAAGACATGAAAGAGACGTTCAGAAGCAAACTGAACTCAATTTTCCCCCAAATTCAATTCACAATGGAGGAAGAAAAGGACGGAGAAATCCCCTTTCTGGATGTCCAGGTGTCGAGACAGGAAGACGGTGCCCTCCAAACTGGTGTCTTTCGAAAGGCGACTGATACGGCGAAAATCCTCCATTACAGCAGTAACCACCCCTTGTCACATAAACGCAGTTGCGTGCGGACACTCTTCCTACGCATCAACACACACTGCAGCACAGAGGCTGAAAAGCTGCGAGAGCGTAAATCCCTATGGCGTCTCTTTCTCTCCAATGGGTACCCACGCAGCTTCATAAACAAATGCCTTTGTCAAAGGCACATGAAGACCGACGGTGAACAAAAACAAAAACCTGAATTCTTTCGTGCTTTGCCCTACGTGAGTGACGTTTCCGAAGCCACTGAACGCATGCTCAGACCACTCAACGTGGGCCTTGGACACCGGCCGGAGGTCACTATCCGCCGCTTACTCATGCAGCCCAAGGGGCGGCTACCACCTGAGGACACGTCAGGAATTGTTTACCGCGTCAACTGTCTAGACTGTCCGGCCAATTATTGTGGCATGACCGACAAACGATTAAGGTCGCGCATGCATGAGCATTCTCTAGCTGTAAAGCGAAAAGATGTACGATCACATGTTGCCATGCATAGCCTCGAAAATGACCATCAATTCGGCTTCGACAAGGCAGAAGTAATCGGTCGAGCTGAAAGCAAAATGGCGAGAGAGATAATCGAAGCCTGGCAATCCAACGCCAACTCCATCAACCGTAGGATCGACCTACCGGCGCCATATGAGGCCATCAGACACCACTTGAGCAGGAAGGGAGGGCCAATGGGAAGAGAGAACAATGGACCTATCAGTACTGAGTAAGAAAGACCTATTTAAACCTTGTATTCCCACTTCTAATCTATCTCCGATGATGCGCTCGAGTATGAGTGTGAAACGTCAGATGAATAAATCATCCTCCCCAGAGATCACTTTACCTTCTTCCATATATATATATATATGAAAAATAAAAGAGGTTCTTCGGAAAAGTCGAGTTGTACTCGTGAATTTTCCAGCTGTTCACACCAACCCGTCGTAAGACGTAATGAAAAAGAGGGAGAAAGTTATGCTTTCACAGTAAACCAGTTAGTGCGATAGGACAGAACAGACCACTGACGTGTGAGGGGGGATGGTGTGGGCTCCCGAGGTCATGGTAGGTCCCTCAGTGAAGGGCGGGGAAGGGAGAGGAGGGGGAACAATTACGGCACATCGTGCTGGAGGGGGGGTGGGTGGTGAATCAGTTGGAATGCGGGCGGCTGTATTCGCGGTCGTTGATGCGTGATTAGGGCAGGGGGCACTCATTCGTGAACGTAGACCCTCGTAATGGGCATCTAAGTCAACGTGGCGGTTGATACTACCCGCATTGGAGTACCCAGCCTCGAGAAATTCCCTCGCTCGCTTTGTGTTAGCCATGGCGACGACCTCAGTGCCATCCCAATTGAATCGGTGGTCGTACTCGAGTGTATGGGCAAAGACGACGGACAGGGGGTCTTGCCGACGGATAGCTAGTTTGTGTTCGTTGATACGGGTGCCCAGGCATCGACCTGTATGGTCAACATACACGTAAGAGCAACTAGCACACGGGATGCGAGAAATTACATTCGTTTGTTGCTCTTTGAGGATGGGATCCTTCACTCGAGATAGTGCTGCGCGTAGTGAAGATGCCGGTTTGTGGGCAACGTGAATACCCAAGCGGCTGAACTGTCGGGCGATTATTTCAGAAGTTCCACGCATATATGGCAAGGAGTAGAATTTTCGCGTCACAATCTCTCCGTTGGGGGTTGGGTCATGCGACTGTGTCTGGTGCCTGAGACAGTTCTTTACAATACTGGTCGGATATCCGTTAGAGCGGAATAAGCGAAACGGGTAAGCTAGCTCTTTGTTCAGGAGATCGTTGCTGTTACAATAACGGTAGGCCCGGTGGAACAGAGTTCGTACGCGGCTTCTTTGTGAGCTGCAGGGTGGTTGCTTCTATATTTGAGGATAATCTCAGAGTTAGAGTCTTTCCTATGGACGCTTTTGCCAGGCTACCATCTCTGAACTTCTGTATTCTTACGTCCAGAAACGTCGAGCTGTCTCCAATTGCCTCTTCGCGGGTAAACTGCATGGCTGGGAAGACGTCATTCAGTCTCTGGTGAAGACGTTCGACTTCGCACTTCTTTATTATGACAAAGGTGTCATCAACGTAACGAAGCCATAGTTTAGGCTTGATAGTTTGGAAAACTATCTCTTCTAGTCGCTGCAAAACTAGTTCGGCGAGCAGTGCTGATATTGGTGAGTCCATCGGGGTTCCCTTTACCTGTTGGTAGTACCTATTATCAAAGTGACAATAGTTCCTAAGGCAAAGATTTAGCAGTTCTATAACATGCTGCGTTGGGATCTCAATAGGATTGTTCTGTAGGCGTTGGGTTACGCATTCAATCGCCAAATCGTGTTGTATGGAAGAAAACAAGGCAACGACGTCAAAGGACAGGAAGCATTCATCGGTACTTACTTTGAGGCCTTGTACCCTGCGGAAGAACGCTTGAGAGTTTTTAATGCTGTAGTCCGATCCATGAGTGAGCCGCTTCAGACGACTGTATAACCACTTAGCCATATTGTAAGTGGGTGATCCGATAAGTGGCACTATAATCCTCAGGGGGGCATCCACTTTGTGCACTTTCGGGAGGCCATACGCGTGTGCGATGTGGGGATCACTGAGGGTCATCAACTTGGAGTCATCTGAACTGATAACTTTCAAACGAGCGAGCTCACTGACCTTCTTTTTGATGGCTGCGGCCTGTTTTTTAGTCGGGTCTTCATCAAGAAGGGTGTAGGCCTCCATGTCACTAAAGATTTCATTCGCCTTGTTAACGTATTCAGTTTTGTCCATGATGTCTGTAGCGCCAACCTTGTCAGCGGGAACAACGACAATGCTGTGATCCGACATCAATGATCGTAATGCTTGCGCTTCTTCGGCCGGTAGATTTTGTTGGTATCTTTTTACCGGTGGCGCAGCTTCGTATGTTCGCGCGCATGTCTTCCGGAATGTTGGAGGCCAGTAGAATGGACCCAAGCCCCGTTTGGAAGTCGGTAGGTGTGGCATCCGCATGATTAAATCCTACTCCCTTTGATAGGAGGGTGATTTCCGCAGGTGAGAGACTCCTCTTCGATGGGTTGACAATTCTTGTGGTCAAATTTCCTTGGTTCGTAGGACGGAGAAGTGATTGCAGTTTCTCCTGGAGATCAAGTCTCTTCTTCAATCTGGCATCCTTAGTGGCGGCGTTTCTTCATTGCTGCAGCAACGATCTCCTGAACAAAGAGCTTGCTTACCTATATCGGTTTTTCCGCTCTAACGGATATCCGATCAGTTTTGTAAAGAACTGCCTCAGGCACCAGACACAGTCGCAAGACCCCACACTCAACGGAGAGATTGTGACGCGAAAATTCTACTCATTGCCATATATGCGTGGAACTTCTGAAATAATCGCCCGGCAGTTCAACCGCTTGGGTATTCACGTTGCCCACAAACCGGCATCTTCACTACGCGCAGCACTATCTCGAGTGAAGTATCCCATCCCCAAAGAGCAACAAAAGAACGTAATTTATCGCATCCCGTGTGCTAATTGCTCTTGCGTGTATGCTGGCCATACAAAACGATGCCTGGGCAGACGTATTAACGAACACAAACTAGCCATCCGTCGGCAAGACCCCCTGTCCCTCGTCTTTGCCCATACACTCGAGTACGACCACCGATTCATTTGGGATGGCACTGAGGTCGTCGCCATGGCTAACACAAAGCGAGCGAGGGAATTTATCGAGGCTTGGTACTCCAATGCGGGTAGTATCAACCGCCACGTTGACCTAGATGCCCATTACGAGGGTCTACGTTCACGAATGAGTGCCCCCTGCCCTAATCACGCATCAACGACCGCGAATACAGCCTCCCGCATTCCAACTGATTCACCACCCACCCGCCCCCCCCCCAGCACGATGTGCCGTAATTGTTCCGCCTCCTCTCCCCTCCCCGCCCTTCACTCAGGGACCTACCATGACCTCGGGCGCTCACCCCATCCCCCCCTCACACGTCAGTGGTCTGTTCTGTCCTATCACACTAACTGGTCTACTGTGACAACATAGCTTTCTCCCTCTTTTTCATTTCGTCTGACGACGGGTTGGTGTGACCAGCTGAAAAATCCCCGAGTACAACTCGACATTTCCGAAGAACCTTTTCTATTTACAGCAACATTAGTTAAATTCCGCCACTTTTAATGAATGCAGCGAAAACCTAATGCAACCGGTAATTTGCAACCGCATTTGACTTTGTAAACGCTAAATTGCAAAGGATGTGCTCTGCTTAAGCGCATTTTTATTGCTGTGCATTACCGAAAACAAGCGAGACTAGAATGGCCATTCCTGTTTTATAGACCTATGTCAGTCAGCCATAACCAACCCCGAGGTGTGGAAACCTAAGACCCGATTAGTCGACCTGATGGTTAGAAGTAAAGCGCACATAACCACTGAGTTGCGAGCTCGTAGACTTACAAACTGCTCGTAAAATATTTAAGTATTGCATTCGAAAAATGCCGAGTTATCTGTCGATGTCGAAACAGGCGCGGCATTTTCCTTCTTCAGAAATCGTTTGTAACGCAGGAAGCATCTGATTCGCCGAGGGTAGTGAAGGTTTGTCCAGTTTCGGATGCGCGATAGACGAAATGCCTGAGAGCTGACTACTCAATAAGAGGACCGCTATAAGTTATTGTTTCGTCCGAAGGCTGGCTTAAAAGGTTTAATAAGTAAATATCTGATTTGTCTTCATTGCGTCTGCTATATGATCGTGCCAACTTTTATGAGTCAACTGAAGGATATGAAGGAGCATCAACGTTTGTTTTAGATTTCTAAACGAAGCAAAGTATCAACAGTGCTTAGACATGATGGTGCTAGCAAAAATTACCGTGTCAAGATTTTATTTTCTCGAAAATTCCGACTCACATTTCAAAATGCACATGCACGCAAAAGTTCACGGACTGAATCTCGTCGGCAATATTCTTGTTGAAAGATCCCGTGTCATTCAGCCACCAGTCAACTCGGGGTTTCGCCCATGCTATTGCTTCCTGTTTGAGTGGCACGCCGCTGGAGCATAGGCAACCTAGAGAAGTACTTAACATATCAGACGGAAAAAGAGGATTAGAAACGCCCAAAACAATGCGCCCCTCGAGACCCTACGGTGGCACTCTACTGCTACGAAAAAAGAATTATTCTTGAAACGTTACAGATTAACTTTAAGCCAACAGATTTTTGGCAAATTTAGAAAGCACGTATGCAAGCCGCCAAGATTAAAACTTCTACATTACGCCTTGAGAAAGTCCGAATTTGCTTACACGTTCACGAGGATCGTCTGTTGGAGTGATAGAAACACGTACAGTAGATGTGCTACCTCATGAAATGTCAACCAACATTTCGAAATGCGTTCTCGTTTCGAAAAGATTAATTAAGTAGCGTTGTAAAACTAATCATGATACAGCATAAGTCTATAATGATTCAGTTACCTCAAGGTGTCGGCTTTTGAAAGAACTTATTTTTGGCTGCATGCAAGATCTATACTCTGCAAAAAATGACTACACATGTAGTATGCAATTTTCTCGTTGATTTTCGATGCCCTTGAAAATTCAATTTTATTTCATGGAAAACATATATAAAAATATTCATTCTTTTACTTATTCGGTACAAAATCACGTCTTCTTCCAATCTCATACTCAAAAGACGAGGATAATTCTGTTTTGAAAAACTTTTCTAATTCCCGAATAATTTCGAACCGGACCTGCTGTTATACTTGCATTCAGAGTTTCAAAACTACAAGCTGTATATTTTCCGTGTACGGAAAACCATGCATTTCTCTACGGTGTTAAGAGAAGACCATATCAGCTTCATAAAATTGAGCAGTGGATTTGAGCAATATTGTTAATTTTACAAGCCACATTCGTAAATGCAGATACATGACGTTTCATGAACGGCCATTTAACGGTATTAAAAAATCTCACAAATAGAAACTTTTTAAAAACCGAATTGTACTCTACTTTTGAGTATGAAGTTGGAAGATGACGTGATTTTCTGTCGAATAAGTAAAAGAATGACTATTTTTATGCATGTTTTCCATGAAATGAAATTGAATTTTCAAGGGCATCGAAAATCAACGAGAAAATTGCATACTATATGTGTAGTCATTTTTGCAGAGTATAGATCTTGCATGCAGCCAAAAATAAGTTATTTCGAAAGCCCACGCCTTGAGGTAACTGGATCATTATAGATTTATGCTGCATTCTGATTAGTTTTACAACACTACTTAATTTATCCTTTCGAAACGAGAACGCATTTCGAAATTTTGGTTGACATTTCATGAGTTAGCACATTTACTGTACATGTCATTGTGCCCCATCCGAATTTGGGCTCAGCTTGAAAATGAAGCTTAATCATGAAGCATTTCGAGTGATTTTAAAGTTCTCGTGCTCAGTGTAGATAAACGCATTGAATAGATGGCGTAGATTTGAATGCATATATGTTCTGGGGCAACAAATGATGTTAACTCTCCCTCTTAACCCAAGAGGCAAAAGCACTAAGGTCATTGTTTGTGAAGACTAAAAACATAATCATTGCAAATGTTCGAGTGTTTTGCTTGCGGGCTGTGACAGAGCTACTAGGCCAGTAATTTGAGTTTGACCGCATGCCCTATTATGGTTTGTTCGAAGTATGCCGGTAAATACTGTGCTGTTACCTTCTAGAGGACAGGAAAGTATTAGGAACTCCGAAGTGACGAATTCCGGTTTCGAGTTAGGCCTATCTTCGCTGCGCACATGTTAATTGCACTGAAACCTTAGGTAAAGGCAAAACACCGCGCCTTCATCATTACAAAAGCCAAATGTACTCCATTTAAGGGACATATAAGCTATCCACTCATTGTGCAAGGGAGCTCGCAACGATTAAAAGAAACGACAATCTAGCGAGCTCAGTTACGTAATCTGAAGGCTGATTTTGTTTTATTTATGCTACCTGGTGTACATCTCACACGATGCTCGTCGGTAGACAAAGCTGAAAAATGATCGGTCAATCACTGTCTTACCCTTAGACAAGAAACCGTTCCACTTTCAGCAAGTTGGCAATTATCGCAGTTTGATAACCCCACTGTTAATTAAAGACGCGGCTGCTGATGAAACCCTAGTACATATCCCCTTATTCACAAAGTGAACCTACTAATATTTCGGTATTTCAGAAACGCGCTTGAAACACGAATGTTTGGAAGGAAACGACCTATTAGCATAGGGAATGGAGATGGTGATAAAGAAATGGTGAAGGTGGGTGATTTTGCAACTTTGAAACTGTCATGCTTAGTGTTATTACTTGAATGTCCTTTACGAGCATTTTTCTAACAATTAAGTCAGCCAATCATGTTACTACTAAGGTGGCTAACCAATGAGATTCCAGTGAGACCCAGATCTGACTATATTAGCCAGATGGAATAGCCCAACCGCAAACTGGTACGGTGAATATCGTCCATAATGTTGCGACTTCCCTCGTTAACCCTGCTTCAGACGTTTATGCTTCTGGTTGCTGTCTCTTTCGGCAAGTTTTCCGACTTCCGCATCAGATTGTCATATTTTGAACAAGCTGGATGGGGTGTTGTCATTGTCTCTAGAGAAATAACTGAAGTATATTACTTTCATAGTAATGTCAGCAAACATCTCAATACTCCAGCATTCTTCATCGCCAACACTAACAAGCAATTTAATCATCCTTGCTTTTTTAGCCTACAGAGACGAAACACCAACATATGAGCTCTGTAAAGAGCAAAATAGACATTGCAGACTTGTGCGCTACAGAGCTGAAGATGAAACCAAGGGCGCAGGCTGTCGTGCCGCGTGTGGAAAACAACGAGGTCCGTCCTAGCCAAACGTATTTACTCCTACTATATGTCAATTTGGCCTGATTTATATTAGTTCTCTTAAATACTCCTACTCATCCTTACCGGCGTTACAAATTACAAAATCTAATCCTGACTTCAGGAGACCTAGACGAGAAAATGACGGTGTACTTCTGCGAAGAATACAACAAGCCTTGCAAACCGTACGAAGTGTACGGAAGAAGCGGATACGCGAAGAACTTTGAGAGACACGCCATGTGTGTTAGTCTGTGTCACTTTGTCGCACTAGGTAAAATACCCTCATGCCTTACAGTGTTTCGTTTTATTTTCTCTGCTAGCATTCCACGCCTTTTTAAATGCCACGGAGGCGCTTCTACAAAGGCTCCTTTTAGTCTAAAAAATTTTGTATTCATGACTCATGTGCAAATTATTTTCGATTTTTAGTTGAACATAGCGCGGAAGACAATTTCGAAATGTGCTCGGAAACGATGGATCCATGCCTTGAAATAAGGCGTATAAATGGCACTTTTAATGCCTTCAATAAGTGCGCTTTTAAATGCGATGGGTGGCCAAAACGTGAGCTGTTATTTTTTAACTGACATATTCAGTAGCAAGTCACATATAGCGTTTTGTCGATGTTACATGTTGGTTTTTTTCTTAAAGTGGAAAACAGCTTGGAGGACACAGCAATCTTCTGTCCCAACGAAGGCATTTGTGAAGATGCCAAATTCTTCAGCAATTCAAATGCTGGAAATGCATTCGCTGACCTAAAGAAATGCTTCACAGACTGCATGGCAGGTAATTTACTCGGACGATAGCAAATATTACTTGGAGTTTTAGGGAGAGGAAACACAGCATTATGTCCTTGAGTTATTGGTCTCCTCAATCAGTTGGCTGTACACACTATAGTTAACCTACAACTGGTTACTCATACCGTTTTAATTTGGAGTTGACAGGAGCTTAGAATGTGTGTCATCAACGCTATTTGTTGAATGTCTCTAAATGATTTCTCTCATGGAGTTTATAGACGTAAATGCTGTCGTACAGTCAAAAATTAACTACTACAAAATATTTTTCTCTTCACTATAGAATGAACATCTACGACAAAGCTTGGTTGTTTGCAGATATTATTCAATGCGTTTTACTGTTGAGGGACTTTGGATGCTTAGGTAATTAGAGGTGTTGGTTTTGAATTAAAATGGTAACAGAAACATATGCCTCGGAATTTTTTCTTTATGTTAAATGTCCTTAAAACTGTAATTTTGGACAAGCGCGCTGACTAATGCGGCCAAAAGTTGCATCATTATGCCCGGGTCGGTGTATTTAACTGCAATTGATTTAGTACATACCTGGAAACATTGGTTATATCATTATTTCTACGTCAGTTAGCGAATATTTATAAATCCGGAATAACCATCAAACGCCAACAGAGGCCTGGACCGAAACACGGATCGAGGCTTGGTAGGCTATCAATTTGACGGGTATGTAATTTGCTGTCGGTATTGGCAGATCGCCGTATCCTTTAACAAGTATTTTAACTTTTCCGAACAAAGCCCGCACTAGTTAATCCCACCGCCCAGCACATATTTCGGGAGGCGTCTTGAGAGCGAATTTGGATTTGCAAGCGTAAGAGGGACTGCGCTGCATAAATAGGCGTTTGACAACTTAAAAATCGCATAAGTAGAAAATACATAAACTAACAATTTACTGTCATCTGAATACAGGGTATAAAGGTGGTGTAAACTGATGCATATCTAGGCAGAATGGTGTAACCGACAAAGACAAGGGAGACTGGAGTAGCCGTTTCTGGCTTATTAGCCGTCGTCAGCCAGCCATATCCAAGCCCGAAGTGTGGAACACCCGAACACGCGACCTGTTGGCTTAGAAGTCCACGCCTCTACCTACCGGGCCACGAGCCCGTTGCCCTGTCGGTTTTCGAGCGGGAATATACATTAGTATGGGGCGCTCACCGATCGTGTATCTGTATAAAAAGTGTGTACTTTTTGATACGCATTCGAAGAAGGCGAAATAGGGCATATATTTCCAAAAGTGAACGGGCTTTTCACTAATAGTGATTCGTATGTGGGTTTATAATGAATAATGGGCAAGTATCTGACTTGTCGCCATATCGTTTACATTATCTTCGGGTCAAAAATTATACAGCTACTGAAATATATGCGAAGAGCATTAAAACGCCTTCCCCCGGAATTTGTCGGTTTTCCGGAACAAAGTTACTGGGAACGTTAACGAATCCATAATGTTTCTCCCAGCGATTCTGATTCACACTTAAAATGCACATGAACGGAATAGATTGCAGAACGGATTCCATCAGCTATACTCGTATAGAGCGAACCCAAGCACTAAGACCGGCAGTTAACTTGCGCTGTCGCCTAGAATATCTGCTTCTCCTTGAATGAAAAGCCGCTGGATATCAAGCAACTGAGAAGACTAGCTGGCCGCCTTGGCCGTTAAAATTTACGGAAACATACCAGGCAAAACAACCCTGGATTCGTGTTAGACTTTTACTCCTATGAAAGAAGCATTTGTGCGAATTTTCGCAGCACCATTCGAACCCAAGAGACATACGTCAAATTTAGAATTCAGGACGACAATCTGACAAGCTCGAAAATTCAAAATTAAGCAGTTAAAATTCGGCGTTTTAATTATCTTTATAAGTACTGTCTAATAGAAGGATACTGACAAGGACACGCGGTTAAAAGAGACCATTTAAACGGTTTAGTTCTGCTCATAGACCACAATCAATGGAAAAAGATGAATATTGGACGTGTTGACATCATTTAGCTATTTTCATGGCCCCTCTGTTTTGAAATTACATCAATATAATAGTATCAAAGGAAACTAAAAATATCAAATATGGTTTGGATAGAAGACTAGATAAGTTCATTTTGCACACAGCATGCCGTGATCGGTATTACCAGTCCGACGTAAACTTGCAACAGTTCCACTTTGGCTGTAAATAAAAGGTAAAGTTCCAGTCGTGCACGACAGTATAGATGGTTCAACACGCTGAAGGCACTAGAATGGTGATCAAACGAATATCTAGTTTAGTCACCTCATCTGCGAAGCCTTGAACAAACTAGGACGTAGTTAATCGAATTAATCAGAAAATTAAACGTTTGAATACTAGGCAAGAAAACGTTGATGGAGATGCTGCAAGAAGGTCTGGAGACGAGTAGTCAGTTCCGATCAGCACACGGCAACATTCGTATTTCCGTTATTGCATCTGGGACCGAGCCAATAGCTACTGCTATAGAGACGGGAGCAATAGTGAAATGGCAGTGCAAAGTGGAAAGTGCGCTTGATTACTCGTATTGCAGCAGGCCACGTCGGCTGGTCAGCCAATTTGCATGTGCGGATATTAGCAAAATAATATTATCCTCATTTTTATCGTGGATCGCGCGGCCTTGAATTGAGTCCAAGCATATTGCTCATACTCAAGAGAAATCAGCATTACATTTCGTTTTCAAATTGAACTAAATTTGCACACCCACCATGGTTATCGTAGACGGTTCATGTGAACTCTGATATAAATGTCGAGGTCGAACGCATAATGTCGACAATTAGACCCATTCGGCCACTCTGTCTTTCAAATTAGTTATCAATACCCTACCTTAAAATAATACTCTTGGGCTTCACGACAGGAAGGGGATTTTGTCCGTAAGTTAAGAGAGGCGCTTTCATTTGGGCATTTCTAATGACTTTCTTTCTGAACGAACCTCTGATGCTCTCTCCGTGCGCTGGTTAGTCCCCCATTGTTTTCTTCTAAACTAAAAACTATATTTTAGATTAAATTCAAGTTCAGTGACGGCCACTGCGTGTGAGAAGTCTCAATAGGAGCTTAACAGCGATGCAGATATTGGTAAGTTCGTATGTAAATAACAGCAAATGAAATGGTTTCCCCGAAAAGCATAGCGGGGTTCCATAACTTCCGTTCATGTACTTGCGTGATTCAATAAGCTCTACCAATAAGAAATGACTTAAGATGGGAGTGTTGTCGTGAATATCGCGATGGATGTTTATAATTTCTGTTGTCTCATGCTCTGATTTTTTAATGTAGCTCTATCGGAGTTATCCACGATTGAACCTGCTTTGAGCCCTGACACCCACTCCAAATTAGGTGCTCCCAGCATTATATCTCGATGTAGAAAATTAAAAGCAGCTGACGCTGCCACAGCTCGGTTGTATGATCTGCCAAAAAATATTAAAATAAATGGTCTATGGTGACTAATCTTTACCCTTCAATACAGCCAGACGTTTATTTTGCAAGGTGAATGCACCTAAGACTGATGTTCCTCCATGGCAATTTATCTATATCATTTCAAACACTATTTCCGTTTTTCACATACATTTTGGGATTGAGAGTCTATTCAGAAGAAATCATGGTCTCTTTCACGTGACGTCCTTTATACCATGCCAAAACTGTCAAACTAGATGTACTGTCGAATCGCGCATACAGTGGATTAAGTATTACAGGTGGCTACCCATACTTCCCAGATACTTCAGGAGTAGAATTTCGCAGCCTCCAAGGCAATTGTCTACGTCGGAATTAAAACAGGCCGAATATTTCTTAAGGCCTGGTGCTCGGGTGAGTACTCATTCTATCAATTTATCGATATGACGTCAGTTTACAAAGCACAGCGCACTTACATCCAGTCTTACGTCATCGCACGATGCTCAAATGTCCCTTGGGCTAGTGAAAGCTCAGAACAATTAACTGAATGCTCCGGTGCTCCAACAACGACTTCTGAAATACCCCCATGATTACTGGTGTTGGGCCACATCCTGAGGGCCCCTCAGTCATACTCAGTTTAGGTTCTGCGTTAGGATTCAGTATTAGCTCATTCACTCGTGGAATCCAATCCACGTGGTAGATTAAATTAAAAAATTGCCAATGTACGAAGGCCTTTTACAAAATTCAAGCAGGGAGAAGGACCGGTAGATATTTGGCAATATTGGAATATAATAGTGACTTAAACCACTCTAATCGGCTCGTTCTTCTATTTTCGCAACGGCGGAATCAAGTGTTCCTCTCTGGTCGACGCATTCTAAATCGTCAACACGGTTGCGATTCAAAAGAAGAAAATAACTCGCAACGTAATACCAAACACCATAACAAGTGAGGGGACATTATGACTCCTTCTTATTCCAGAGTTAGTCGTATTACGACAACACTCATCTCAGCCAACGAGAACCCCAATAATCCTATTTTCCTCTCTCGGTGTCCACATCTAAGCTTCCACTTCGTCCGGTAATTGACCTTGGCATAACGTTAACAACTCTGTTTGATCATCCATCCTCATACACAGCTAACTGTCCTTCATTCGTCATCCACATAAGACTCGGGATCAATTGATGTCATCATTCCTTTCCTTCGTCCTAATATTCGATATTCGACTATTGTGTCATCTTTTTATTTTCTTTTAAGAGATAGAGAGAGGAATGCTTTATTTTGAAAATAACATTCAAAACTTTCAGCAAAACCGGTTCCCCGGTACACAGTGATTACCATGGAGATTAACAGGTATTGGACAGGCGGACATAATTATATGTGAAGAAAAAAGGACTTTAAGGTGCAAGATCGAGTTTTAGCTTTTGTTTTTCAGCATCTTTGCAGGTAAGATACCGGGCTAGAAATGGCAGTATGGAATTCTGATAAGCCGAAGTGCGACAAGGGATGTGGCGGAAGCATCGACGCATGGGGCGTAATGATTTGGCAGCCATTGACTCTTTATGAAGGGGGCGGACGGTGTCATTCAGAATTCGATCAGCAAATGGCTCCACTGTATTGAAGTGTCGCTGCACGATGATATCAAAATTTATACACCAGTCTTGTTTGAGAAAAATAACCACTCCTCCACCTCTACTGCCTGCTGGAGATGGTTTATCATTTCGAAACAACAAAATGACGAAGCAGTGATTAGTTCCAAGTCGATATGGCTATTCAACCACGTCTCCTGAAGGTGAATTACTTATGTTGTGTCATGTTCTTTGGTTGACAGAAGTAATTCCAAATCATGGGCCATAGCCCCCTCATGAGGCGGGGCCAGAGGGGGCTGGTGCTGGCAGGGTTGTT